ATAATTATTGTTGGGACCCCTGGTGCACGGCCCCCCCGCCTCGCCTAGGCCGCAGCTACATTTTCTTCATTTTTTCGCGAAAGCTTCAGAAAAGTGGATGGGGTCCAGATCCGGTTGTTTTGTTGTAATCCGTTTTCCCTTGCAAAAAACACTATAAAATGACATTTCTTTTTCTAATATAATCAAATTTCAAGAATCCCTTGCAAAAAATAAGGTAAAGTGGACATTCGCGCGCGCAAGACGAAATCCTTCCAAAAGCTTAGTGTTCGGAACGATTTTAACATAAAAACATAAAAACCAATGGTTTTTCAACAAAAAAATGTCAAAATCTCATCCCGCGCGCTCTTGCGGATTCGTAGGAAAACCAACACTTTTTAAACATTTCTGTCAACACGGGCTTTTGCGAGCAACTTTTTCGAACTTCTGCGACAACGGTTGCGCACCTGCCAGGGCCATCATCCCTGTCAAATAATACCATGCGGGACACATTCGTTTTTCTTCGCGCGCGCACGCCGTCGTCGTCGGCCGCGGGGCCCTGAATAGTAGCCACGGTCGTCCGCATGCCACGAAGTGAAGTGTCCGAACGTCATAGGGCGGGAAGCTGGGTGTGGGTGGTGGCGAAGAGTCGTTTGGAAATTTGGTAGAGCTTGAACCGGCCCCCCCACAAAGTGGGGGTATTGCCCGCCTCCTATGAAAACCCTGGCACTGGTGAGATCGGTGTGTCCCCACGTGCTAGTATTTGTTGTTGTTGTTGTTGTTGTTGTTGTTGTTGTTGTTGTTGTTGTTGTTGTTGTTGTTGTTGTTGTTTTTTTTGTTGTTGTTGTTGTTGTTGTTGTTGTTGTTGTTGTTGTTGTTGTTGTTGTTGTTGTTGTTGTTGTTGTTGTTGTTGTTGTTATTTAATCGCTTCGCTCATTCCGCCGGCCCGTATTGTGCCATCGCAGGCGTTTGCTTGCGCGTTCGTGGCCTCTTGGAGCCTCGGTGGGGCCGTTTGGGGCCTCTTGGCGCCTCTCTTTAGCCCTCTTGGAGAACTCGGGAGGCCTCCAGGGGGCCTCCTGAGCTCTCGTGACGGTCTCTTGGGGGGCTTTCGGCGGGCTCTTGGCGGTATTTGTTGGTCCTCTTGGGGCCTGGGGCCTGACGTTGTTGGTCCTCTTGGGGCCTCACGGGAGCTTATTGGGGCGTCTTGGGGGTGTCTTGGAGAGTCTCTTGGGGCCTCTTTCGGGGTCCTGGGCGCCTTCTTGGGCGGAGGGCTCGATTTTTCAGTTCTCGGTTCCCTTCTTGAGCCCCTCTTGGGCCCGTCTTGGGGCCTCTTGGTCCGCCTTGGGCAGCACTTGGGCCGTCTGGGGGGCGCTCTTGGGCCGCTCCGGGGCCGTCTTGGGAGCCTCGTGGGCCGTCTTGGAGCAGTCTTGAAGGCCTCTTGGGCCCTCTTGGAGCGTCCGGAAGCGAAAAGGCCAGAACGCAAAAAAACATCGAAAAAACAAATGAAAATCAACGATTTTGGCAACTTGGGGCCCTCTTCGGAGGCCTCTTGGAAGGCCCTTGGAGCGTCTTGGAGGCCTCTTGGGCTGTCTTGGGGCCATCTGGGGCGTCTTCGGGCGATCTTTGGCCGTCTCGGGCCTCTCTTGGACCGTCTAGAAAGCTTCTCGGGGCCCTCTTGGACCGATCTGGAGCCCTCTTGGACTCCGAAACAGAACTCCGGCATCTCTGACCCGACCTTGCCGGGACCTTGCCGGGGACTTGCCGGGGAGCGTCCGGGGACCCCCAGGGGCCGCCCCGCGCGCGCGAACTAGAAATACTGTTAACCAGGTACCGGAGATCTTAGCACGCCCTGGCCCGTTGGGCCGGCGAATTTATTGTTTGATTCGTGTTTTGTTTAGTGAATCGCGCCGTGGGTTTGTTTCGTGATCCTCACGCTCTGCGTGTTTGTTGGCGTTCTTTGCCCCAACCTGTGCTTGCAGTAGGGGTTCTCACGTGGCAGAGCAAGCAGTATCCGACCAGAGCAGGCAGACAGCCGCAGGGATGCCACCAGCGAGCCTTCTCCCGCGCAGCCCCGCGCGCAACCAGACAACGACGAGGATCCGGAATTGGAACCTCGGGCGGAGTGGGGGTACTCGCGATTACAACGGCGCCGAAGATGGAGATAGTTCCAAAGAGTCGCTGGGGCGCATTCGGGTCTTATGGTGGAACCCACCTCAACATCCTCAAGTGAACGCTGGGAGACGCAGCGACAGACCGAGAAGAACATGGTCGAACTATATCTTCCATTTTGTCAAACTTTCAAGCGCTATGTGGGACGAATATGACCAGGCATTGCTATAGGACGCGACAATCCCACAATACGTTGCACGTCCTCCTCCAGAAAGCCGGCACAGACGCATGGCGCCATTTGTAAGACGAACTTGCCGAATACTCAATGTATTGCCTCTTAGTCGGCGTTGAGCACGGCGGCAACAACATGTGTTAACGACAACGTTCTGTAGATCGTATATCTCCAACCTCGGCTGCTTCAATCTTTCCGACTCTAGCTTCCAACATTTTGAGCCGTTTTGGCCCTAGGTTTTGGATTTGTAGCAGCCTTCTTCAGAGCGATAGTCGCTGCTGCGTGCCATGCTGGCTGCAGTCTTTGAAGTCTTCGTCGCGCCGCCAGGTAGGCAGTACACGAACCCCTTGCGGGATTCCATGGCCCAGGGCGGCGTAGGAGCTGGAGAAGTTTTGGTAGGCCCCCGTACGCTAAGTAACCTGGGCATGCAATCGACGAAGAAACAACGCCATCAACATGCACTTTTGGCGCTCCGCGCTGGGCCCCCGCGGCAGCGCTTCCGGCGCCGCCCGTGGCGCGCTCCGCGCGCCAGGGAGGGGTTTTCTAGCCCAGATCCAAGAGATCCGTGCGGAACGCTAAACGCGTATGTTCATGGCGTTGTTTCTCCTCTTCTATGCATCCAGCGCGGGAGGAACACGAGTTGGGCTTCCAGAGTCGTGTGCGGAGGCGGCGAGCTGGCGCCGCCTACCTGTGTCGTGCTCGTCGTGCGCGTGCTGCCTGTGCCGGGCGTTGGTCGACCCCGGGGAGCCTCCTGGCCGCCCCTTCGCGGCGCGCTGGTGGTCGCGATCCACTGCAGCAGAGGCTCGACGCTTCGCAGGCGAAGTTTGATGCAAATGGAGGCCAAGGTTCATTGAGGATAAAGAGGAACCCCTAACCCTCAGAACACGACGAAGACGCAGCCTCGCTGAGGTCCCTGTCCTCGCATGCGGCAGCCTGTTTCTGGGCTGCTCGTTCCCGTTCCCCATCCCTAATGTTCCTGGCCGTTCTAGCGTAGGTCCCCTCCCAAAGGGTTAGGGGGTCTCTTCTTGGTCAATCAAAGGGCGCAGGTGGCAGGACCCCCCCGGGCGCAGGTGGCAGGACCCCCCCGACGTCGACGACTGTTGCCAACAAAATCGTGCGAAAGACAATTCGGAACAGAACGTGCTCAGGGAGACGATCACTCAGCACGAGGTATCCATTCCAGGTTTCAGGTTCGAAGCGCCCACCTGCAAAACTCACCCTTTTATATTCTTCTGCCGCTCTGCCCGCTTCGCGCTCCGCTCCCTTTCTGACCTCTTTGTTGTTGTTGTTCTCTCTCTCTCTCTCGCACTCTCACCCTCTCAGCCTGGGGCTTGGGACCTGGGCGCCCGAGGTCTCCCTAAAACCTTCGAAGGGCCTGACTCCCAGTCCAGTGGTGATGATGCGGGGGGGCAGCACAAACGAAAACAAGCACGAACAACAAGCAACACCAGCATATGTACTTCCTCTTCTCCTTGTTTCACCTCTGGTCGTGCTCCCCTCTGCTCCAGTGCTTGTTTTTCCTCCCTCCGACAGCATGATGACACGGTGCCGCGGAGCGTGTCGCGTCGCGTCGAGCCCCCTGTCCTCTCCACCTCCCCACCGTGCTCCGTCCCCCTCTCCCTGGCGCGCGAGCGCCTCGCGAGGCCCCGTTCGGTGCCTTCTGCCCTCCCCTTCTGTCTAACGTTGGCCGCGCGTGAGGCCCGAGCTTGTTGCGCCGTGAACAGAAGCAGTGCGAGGCCTCAAGGAATTAAAACACAAATGCCCGGCTGGCGCAGCGGCAAAAAGGGAGGTGTGGAGAGACGGAGAAAAAAAAGACCGTGGGCCCGCAAGGGCACAGAGCATGCGCCAGCCAGGCGGTGAAGTCCCTCTCCTTCGCACCCCCTCTCCTGCTCAGCGACCATGCACTCACCGCCCTCCCCTCCCCCCCCTCGCGGAGGCGCCCGATCCGGCGGAGGGGTCGGAGGCCGCGGACGCGGCGGCGGTCGCCGCGGAGGCGACCGGGCCGAGCGAGGCTGTTTGCCAGGCTTGGCTTGGCCTTCTTTCGCCGCCGTAGTCGTCGCCGCGCCCGCCCAGGACCGGGAGGAATCGTCCCAGAGCGCTTTGCTTGGATCTCCGCGGTGGTTGCTAAGGGGATTGGGGGGGTTAGAAGTGGATGCTTAAGTGGGTATTATCTGGCCGAACCCAATTTGTAAATTGGTGGCAAGTGCCCTAATCGACTTGCCCTTCATCTGTGTAACTGTTGGAAGCTTTCAAGGCGACTGCGCGGCGCCGGTGAGATATCCGCCTTTCTAAACAGTTCTCGCCGGCCATCCTCGTAGCGTGTAAGGCTTTGGCTCTTGAAGTTCACGGGGGGGATACCTGTATTGATAATGCTGACGATGACGATATCGATGATCATGAGGATGTCGATGATGATGATGATGATGATGATGATGATGATGATGATGATGATGATGATGATGATGACGATACTGCTGACGATTGTCATGGTTATGGTGGCTTTGATGCTGCTGATGATGCTGGTGGTGATAATGCTGCTAATGATGGTGATGATGCTGCTGACGATGTTGATGATGATGATGATGAAGGTGATGATGATGATGATGATGATGATGATGATGATGATGATGATGATGATGATGGAGACGATGTGAACGATGGTGGCGACGTCGACGACGATGATGACGAGGATGACGTTGATGATGACGATGATGATGGTGATGATATGGATGATGCTGCTGATGATGATGGTAGTGCTGATGATGATACTGATGATGCTGAGGATGATGATGCCGACGACGACGATGGTGATAATGATGGTGCTGATTCATGCTGATTACGATGATGATCATGAAGGAAGAGGATGAGGATGAGGATGATGATGATGGTGGTGGTGGTGCTGATGATGCTGATGATGATGCTGATGATGATGTTGATGATGTTGATGACGATGCGATTACTATGATGATGCTGATTTTAATGATGCTTGTGCTACTGCTGATGATGCTGATGAGGATGATGATGCTGATGATGACGATGATGATATGGATGATGATGCTGCTGACGATGATGGTGGCGATGATGATGATGATGATGATGATGATGATGATGATGATGATGATGATGATGATGATGATGATGATGATGATGATGATGATGATGATGATGATGATGATGATGATGATGATGATGATGATGATGATGGATGAATGATGATGATGATGATGATGATGATGATGATGATGATGCTGATGATGCTGATGATGATGCTGATGCTGATGCTGATGATTCTGAATGATGATGATTATTCTGCTTGATGATGATGATGATGATGATGATGATGATTGATCCATGCGATGATGATGATATGATGCTGATGATGATGATGACGATAATGATGATGATGATGATGATGATGATGATGATGATGATGACGATGATTTTGATGATGATGATGATGATGATGATGATGATGATGATGATGATGATGATGATGATGATGATTGTGTTTTTGATGCTGATGCTGCTGATTATGATGATGATGACTGTGATTGTGATGCTGATGACGATGATGAGGATGATGATGTTGATGATGATGATGCTGTGATGATGAATGATGCTGTGCTGATGCTGATGCTGATGATGAATGATGATGATGACGATGATTATGATGATGATGATGATGGATGATGATGATGATGATGATGATGATGAGGATGATGTGATGAGATGAATATGATGTGGAGGTGAGGAGGAGAGGAGGAGGGGAGGAGGAGGATGGTAGGAGGAGGAGGAGGAGAGGAGGAGGAGGATGAGGAGGATGATGGGGAGGATGAGGAAAGGAGGGGAGGAGGAGGAGGGAGGAGGAGGAAGGGAGGAGGATGAGGAGGAGATGAGGAGGAGGAGGAGGAGGAGGAGGAAGAGAGAGGAGGTGCATGAGGCTGAAGAAGAACGGGATAACAAACAGTAGGCCTGAAGCTGCTCTCGTGGTGGGCGGAGCAAACGTTTTGCGGGGGATTTTTGCTGTCGCGTGTGCTTGTGCAGCGGTGACTTCACCGTTCGCCGTGGCCTCCCCCCCCCTCGACGAGGGCCTGTGCCCCTTCCCATGTCCCCTTGCACGAGGCCCGTTGGTTGCCGCGGAGGACAGGCAGTAGGATGATCACGGCTGCAAAGGACGCTACGCGCGTGACAGCGCGCGTTCGAGAGGCGCCAAGGACGCCCATGGCAGGGCCATGCAGGACCCCCTCGGGCCCCGAGAGGAAGAGAACAGCAAGAGGAAGGACGTATGCGCAGGAGCTGCGGCGCGACACGCTGAGCACGTCCCAGCCCGTGGGCATCAAGCGTTCTGGGCTTCGCGCATGCGCACCTCCACGGGAGCAGGCGAGCGCTCGCGGGCGCCGCTCCAGAGCATGCTGACACGCATGCCAGGCGCACACCGGACGACAACGCTCTCTGCGCCACGAGGCCCCGTGGGAAACGCACAGGGTCCGTACGGGCGCCTGGGCGAATCGGATGGCCGAACACCGCCCGGAAGGGTGCGTCGTGATCCTTCAAGACGCGAGGATGTGATGCGAGCGAGCGAGAAGCCGTACGCCAGTCGGCGCGTGGGCAGTTGAAACCATGGGCAGCCTGGGCAAGAAGGTCATCATACAGCGCGGCCGTCAAGCGCAAGCTTTGTTGCAACCTGATGCCACGCCCGTTCGTCTGCCCTGCAATCGACAAGGGCAGAGTCGGAGCAGAAACTGCTACGAATCAACTTGTACAGGGGCCGCGCGGATCGTCCCCAAGTCCTCCGAGACGGGGATTTATCCATAGCCACCGCTTGGGGGATCGACCTTCGCGGACCTCCACAGGCGGTGAATGTGGATATATTGGGGCCCGGGGGGCCAAACCATATCTATATCCACCGCCCGCCGGGGCACCAGGACGTCGGTTCCCAGGCGGTGGATATGGATACATCCCTGCCCCGCAAGTCTCCTGTCGCAGGAAGCGGAGCGACACGCCGTCGGCCTGCGAGGCGACGCGTGCCCGCAGGGGGCTGCCGCCGCGCGGCGCGCATTTTCTGAAGGAGCGCCTCCTCCCCCCGCCAGGGTTAAGTCGGGCATGTCCTTCTTCAGGAGGAATAGTCAAACATATAAAACATAGTAAGGAGACGATGTTTTTTTATTGTTGTTGTTGTTGTTGAACATTATTAATTCTAAAGAATAATTATTGTTGGGCCCCCTGGTGCACGCCCCCCCCGCCGCGCCTAGGCCGCAGCTACATTTTCATCATTTTCGTGAGGAAGCCTCAGGTAAAACGATGTGATCCAGATCCGGTTGTTTTGTTGTAATCCGTTTTCCCTTGCAAAAAACACTATAAAATGAACATTTCTTGTTCAAATGTAATCAAATTTCAAGAATTTCTTGCAAAAATAAGGTAAAGTGGACATTCGCGCGTGCAAGACGAAATCCTTCCAAAAGCTTAGTGTTCGGAGCGATTTTAACATAAAAACATCAAAACACCAATGGTTTTTCAACAAAAAATGTCAAAATCTCATCCCGCGCGCTCTTGCGGATTCGTAGGAAAACCAACACTTTTTAAACATTTCTGTCAAACGGGCTTTTGCGAGCAACTTTTTCGAACTTCTGCGACAACGGTTGCGCACCTGCCAGGGCCATCATCCCTGTCAAATAATACCATGCGGGACACATTCGTTTTTTGCGCGCTATTGTATGGCACAATTGCACCATGCTGGGCACATGCGCGCCCCGAATAAGTGACCAAGTTCTGTGGGTGTGTACCCCACGCCAGTGTAGTAGCCACGGTCGTCCGCACGCCACGAAGTGAAGTGTCCCAACGTCATAGGGCGGGAAGCTGGGTTTGGGTGGTCGCGACGAGTCGTTTGGATATTTGGTAGAGCTTGTAATGCCCCCCCACGAAGTGGGGGTATTGCCTGGTGTCGTATGAAAACCCTGGCACTGGGGAGAACACCACGCGTTCGGGTAAAATGATTGTTGTTGTTGTTGTTGTTGTTGTTGTTGTTGTTGTTGTTGTTAGTTGTTGTTGTTGTTGTTGTTGTTGTTGTTGTTGTTGTTGTTGTTGTTGTTGTTGTTGTTGTTGTTGTTGTTGTTGTTGTTGTTGTTGTTGTTGTTGTTGTTGTTTTGGATTCGTGTTGTTGTTGTTGTTGTTGTTGTTGTTGTTGTTGTTGTTGTTGTTGTTGTTGTTGTTGTTGTTGTTGTTATTATTGTTGTTGTTGTTGCTGCTGTTGTTTTCTAACATGAAAAATCTGATATGTTTTATCATTTGTTTGACTATTTCTATTTTTCTGGCAGAAGCCGCCTGCAGCTGCAGCAGCGCCTCCTCCCCCCGCCAGCGGGCGGGGCGGGTGGGCGGAGAGCGGTTTGCCGAGAGGGCCGGCGGCAGCGGCGAGGGCGCGCAGGGGGCGTGAGCCTCGGCGCGCCCCGCCCCTGAGGTCTGACTCGGCGGCGAGCGAGGGGGGGAGAAGTAAGAGGAGGAGGAGGAGGGGGAGGAGGAGGAGGAGGAGGAGGAGGAGGAGGAGGAGGACGAGGAGGGGGGAGGAGGAGGAGGAGGAAGGAGGAGGAGGAGGAGGAGGAGGAGGAGGACCGAGGAGGCGGAGGAGGCGGGGGAGGAGGAGGCGGAGGAGGAGGAGGAGGAGGAGGAGGAGGGAGGAGGGGGAGGAGGAGGAGGGAGGAGGAGGAGGAGGCGGAGGAGGAGGGGGAGGGGAGGAGGAGGATGGCTCGAGGAGGTGGAGGAGGAGGCGGAGGAGGAGGAGGAGGAGGAGGAGGAGGACGAGGAGGAGGAGGAAGGGGATGAGGACCCCCTGACTTTCCGGGAGGGCAAAGGAATGACACCAGGACCTCGACATCTGAACTCTTGACTCTTGGCGTATCCCTACCAGTGGCTTAGTGCCTAATTTAGAGCTTGGCGCGGCTGCCTCGTTTGAACGGCGCGCGGTTGGACCGCGGTTATCCCCACCAGCCCATCCAGAAACGATCCCCAGGCGGGTTGCCTCTCAGAGTCTCCTCGGATGTCTCTCGGAACTTTTTTGGAGGCCTCTTGGAGCGTTTTGGGGGCATCTTGGCGGTCCCGGGGGCCTCTTGGAGTGTGTTGGGTGCCTCGGGGAGCCTCTCGGGGCCTGACGAGGTTTTCAGGCAGTCCAGATCGGTCTATAGGTCTGGAGGACTATTTACTAGCAATCTGGAAGGTCAGGGGCAGGCCTTCTCAGAAGGCGGCGGGGCTTCTCAGAAGCCCTCCAGCCTTCTGAGAGGTGTCCTGCGTCTTCGGGGGAGGCTTCGAACACTTCTCAGACGGCCAGGGGGCATCCGAGCCTTCCGAGCCTTCCGAGGAGGCCCGCCCCCTCTCGCTTCCCCTTGGGGCGCGCCGCCTGGAGATCTGGCGTTGACAAGCACTGCAGCATCGCCAGAGATCACGCCCAGAGCCCCGGAGCCCACCTTCGGAGGAGGAGGAGGAGGAGGAGGAGGAGGAGGAGGTTTTCTGTGTCCTTTTTCTCGACCTGAGATCCTGGCGTTGCAGTTTTTTGCAACGGGCGTTTTCGCTCCGTCTCGGGCCCTGGGGCCCTCGCAGATCGATCTGGCTCGAAAAGTGGCGTAGAAAGATGGGGTCCAGGGCTCCGGTCGAAGATGATGGTTGCAATTTTTCCGCAACGTCGGATCTCAGGGAGATCCGTTCCAGAGCCGCAGACCGTTCCGGCACGCTCTGCGAAGGCCGCGGCCCCCGAGACATCCGCCAGAGCTGCCGGATCTCAGGCATTCTTCTCGACTTCTCCTCGCCCGATGCCTTCTCCTCGTCCCAGCTTCGTCTTCGGGGTGCCCGCGCCCCAGGCCCTCGAGCAGGTGGTGGCCGCGGCCGCCAGCCTCCCGGAGGAGGCCGCGCGCGCGCCCTCCCCGGCCGATCTTTTGGGGGCGGGGGGGCCTCGGGGGCGGCCAAGAGGGGGGTGATGACTAGGCCATGACATCTCCCCAGATTTCATGGTGCCTCTTCTTCTTTCAACACGTCCCCGCCCACCCTGGACCGCGCACATGCCGCCGGCCATGATTTGCGTTCCCCCCCCTCTTGGACGCCCCCCTCGTGGCCGCCCCCGATCCCAAGACGGTGCGGTGACCACACCGTGTGGTGAGTCGGTGGGGGCTCGGGGTGACCGCATGCTTTTGGGGGCTCGTCTCGTGCGCCCCAGGGCCCTCTCGGGCCACTTGCAAGGATCACGACGGGAGTGCTTCCTCTCGCCTCCGCCTCGTGGGGCCCTCGCCGGTCCCGGGGCCGTCACACGAAGACTCAGGATGAAAAGCAGGTCCCAGGGAAGGGTCCAGAATTCTGGGGGTCGACGATGTGAGAAAAAACACGACGTCGGGGGTCTGGGTAGGGGGCAACGTCAGGCGTGTCAGGCTCACCCTGAGATCCTGGTGTGGCGATTTCTTCACAGCGGGCGTTGTCGCCCAGAGCCCCAGAGAGGTCCAGAGGGGTCTAAAAAAAATTGGTGAAAAAGTATAATTACCTGTTGTCCTTAAAGCAACAAGAAAACAGAAACAATAATCACGTAACAAATAAGAATGAAAAAGAGCAAGCCACATAAGCCCAAGCAATAAGAAAAGAAAAAAGAAACCAAACGAAGTTGAAAAAAACGAAGGATCAGAACCGCCTCTCCTAAAAAAAGTAACGTTCCTGTTAGAAACCTAAGCCTCCCCCCCCACACAACCTCCTCCCTCCTTCAGCCTCCTTCCCCCTCCCCGCACTCCTCCTCCCCCACTTACCCTTCCTCCCCCTTCCTCCTCCGCCCCCTGCCTTCCTCCTCCCGCCCTCCTCCTCCCTCCTACCCCTCCTCTCCTCCTCCTCCCTCCTCCTCAGTCCTCATCCTCTCCCCTAATCCTCCCCCCTCCTCCTCCTCCTCCTTCCTACTCCTCATCCTCTCATCCTCCCTCCTCCCCTTTCCTCCCCAGCCTCCTCATCACCCCCTCCTCCTCCTCCTCCTCCTCCTCCTCCTCCTCCTCCTCCTCCTCCCCCTCCTCCTCCTCCTGAGGGTCGACCGTCGAGGGCAGATCCCGAGGCGGGCGTCTGGGTCCGAGGACTCCACGGGCGGCCGGGGCCCCCAGGTGGTCCCGGAGCCGTGCGGTGGCGGGCCGTGCAGTGAGATTCGGGGGCAGAAAAGAGGGGGGTGATGACTAGGGGGGGGTGGATATCATGGCGTGGGCCATGATATCTCCCCAGATCTCGTGGCGCCTCTTCTTATTTCATTACGTCCCTGGCCCCCCCGCTGGGCCGCGCACATGCCGCCGGTCATGATTTGCACCCCCCCCTCTTGGACACCCCCCTCTTTGCCGCTCCCGAGAGATCTTTTGGGGGATTTCCGAGGCTGCCGCGCCGTCTGTGGCTTGGCGGCGGCGAGGGAGGGGGGGATTCGGGAGCGAGGGGGGAAGGGTCGGATCCGAGAGTCCAGGTGCGATGTCTTCGGGCGTGTTCGTCGGCTCTCGGTGGACTTCCGGCCTCGGGATGCTTGCCATCAGCTGCTCCTCGCCGCGGACGTTCCAGGGGTGCCCGGATCGTCCCGATCGCCCGCTGAAGACCCGAGATTTGACGCGAAAACCACATTCGGCGGCGAGCGAGGGAGGTAAATCAGAAGGAGAAGGCCTTCTCAGAAGGTATCGGGGCTTCTCAGAAGCCCTCGCGCCTTCTCAGAAGTGTTCTGCGTCTTCGGGATGGCCTAGAACACTTTCAGAAGGCAGGGGCACTTCCGAGCCTTCTGAGAAGGTCCTCCTCTTCTTACTCCCCACCGGGCTCGCCGCCGAGTTGGGGCCCCTCAGAGGACCGACGCCCATGGCAGACGGGCCACTTCCGAGGCGGTAGGCTTCGCTTCGCTCCGCGTCGCGGCAGCAGTCGGCCAGACGGGGGTTCCCGATGGGGCGGGGGGCGCGTCACGGATGGGGGCCTGCTGCGGAGGGGGTTCGTTGCGGAGGGGTTCGGTCCGGTTTGGGCGGCCCCTAGGGGTCTTTGGAGGCTCATGTCTTGGAGGGCCAAGCCTACCTGCTTCTAGAAGACCAACATCTGGGGCCGATGCCAAGTGCCGTTCTCACGTCCTAGCCCAAAGCGTCTATGGGCACATTGGGTGCCGTGACATCCATCGACATTTTCGGGTTGGATGCGTCTATGGACAACGTGGCCGTTGCGTTCGGTGCGGTGCAAGGTCGGAGAAAGGGTGGATCCGTCTATGGCATGTTCGTGTTCTAGAGCAGGTCCCACATGGTACTCCAACTTATATGTCTGAGCGACGCAACAAAAAAAACGGGGTTGCTGTCGCCGGCATTGGCGGGTAAGCTGCCCGCGCAAGGTCGTGCGTGAGCGCCCTCGTCTTCACTGTGACGTGCCGCGCCAGCGGCTCGCGTGAGCTTCTGCGTAAGGTCGCTACGCCATCTCGCGCGAGATCCATTTTTGATCGTCGCTCAGGCGGGATTCGGGCCACTCCACCACCGCCCTCAGGCACGAGAATCTCTCAGCCGTGTGGCACTCCTAGACGTGCGCAGGGCACGGTGGCGGACCTGTCAGAAGCACGAGGGGAGCGATGGCCTCAGGGCGCTCCGCTCGAGCCCATCAAGCCAGGGAGCAGAGGACGAGAATGTGCTGCAGGACGACGGACGAGGAGGAGGAGGAGGACGACTAAGCGCAGCCACATGGCAGCAGTGCTGTGAGAGTCGTCGTCCTTTCAGCCGACCTGTAGTCACATCTGAGGGGCTTGCCCCTCCGTCGCTCGCTCCCTGCGCCGTGTCGTCTTGGTCCACCTTTGGAACACTCGGTCCCCCTTTGCTTCTGGATTCGTTTTTTGTTTGTTTGGTTGCTGGGTGGTGTTGTGTGCATGTGTGTGATGTGTGTGTGTGTGTGTGTATGGATGTCCGTGTGTGTGTGTGGATGTCCGTGTGTGTGTGTGTGTGTGTGAGTGTGTGTGTGTGTGTTTTGATTGTGCGCGTTTGTTCATTCTGTGTGTGTTTTTGCTCTGTGTGTTTTTGTTTACCCTCGTTGTTTCTCCTTGCGTCCTCATGGGAATCCCACACGAGCTCAGTTTAGCTCTCCCAAGTCTGACTTTGACGCAATGCCAGCCCATAGACGAGGCTCCGCACAGCTCTTTAACGACAATGTGTGCATGCTGCATGTCACGCAATAGATCCTTGCTCCCCGTCAGTGGCCCATTGGTACACACCAGAAGAGGATTTGAACACACATGTGACATGATGCGTATACAATCATAATGTATATCTTAGTAGAATATATTTTAATAGGTGGAGAGTGCGTGAGAGAGACAGAGAGAGAGAGAGAGAGAGAGAGGGATAGAGAGAGAGAGAGAGAGAGAGAGAGCGACAAACACACCGGACCACACGAGCAATAAAGAGAGAGAGTGGGCCAGTGGGGCCAAGGCCATGCTAGTGGGGACGAGGATCGGCTGAGCGATTCGCAGAAGGCCACTCGGTTTGTTCAAGCCGCTGCCTCCGCCCACCAACCCGCCCCGCTGGAGGCGCTGGCTGCGCTCGGGGAGGACGGTCGCGCCCTGCTTCTCGCTGCAAAGGCATCTGGCGACGACGACGACGTCCACGACGACGACGATGACGACGACGACGACGAGGACGACGACGATGACGACGACGACGAAGATGAAGATGAAGATGAAGATGAAGATGAAGATGAAGATGATGATGATGATGATGATGATGATGATGATGATGATGATGATGATGATGATGATGCTGATGCTGATGCTGATGCTGATGCTGATGCTGATGCTGATGATGAGGAGGAGGAGGATGAGGATTTTGATGATGATGAGGATGATGATGAGGATGATATGGACGAGGATGAGGACGATGAGGCTGATGATGATGTTCTTGATGATGGTGATGCGGATGGTGGTTATGATGCTGATGATGATGACGGCGGTGATGATGCTGATGCTGATGCTGCTACTGCTGATGCTGATGCTGATGCTGATGCTGCTGATGATGATGCTGATTTTGATGATGATGATGATGATGATGATGATGATGATGATGATGATGATGATGATGATGATGATGATGATGATGATGGTGATGGTGATGGTGATGGTGATGATGATGATGATGATGATGATGATGATGATCATGATGATGATGATGATGATGATGATGATGGTGGTGGTGGTGGTGGTGGTGATGCTGATGATGATGATGATGGTGATGACGATGATGGTGGTGGTGATGATGATGATGATGATTCCCCAAGGAGTGCTTGCACTGAAGGGGTCCTAGCGGAGATTGAATGAACGATGTGTCGAAGCTACCGGCCCGATTTCGGTAGGTGGCCGGGTTCCCGGGTTCCGGGGTTCCAGGTTCCGGCTTCCTGGGTGCCTGTTTGCTGCTTCCGGGCCGACTTCGGGTCGCGGCGGGGTTCCTGGGTTTCTGGGTTCTGGTTTCCTCGTCGATCTCCTCACCGATCGGTCTCACCATTGATCTCCTCACCCACCTGTCTATCGATCTCACGATCGATCTCACTAATGATCTCACTATCGATCTCACAATCGATCTCACAATCAATATCACTATCGATACCACTATCGATTCGCCGTCTGCTCGGTCTCTTCGGGCAGTCGCGGAGCCGTATTCTGACCACATTGGGCCGTCGACGAGCCGGCTGAGATCGTCTATCTTCTTGAGCTGTTTTGAACTGACGGATGTCCGAAAAGGCGAGAATGCCACAACCCTTCAAAGCTTAGACCGAATCGGTATTAAGGGTCTCTTCGAAACTTCTGCGCCTGCTAAATTTTCAAACCATCCACTGATTTGGGCTTGTCTCTGGTGTGTTGATGGTGATGATTATGATGATGGTGGTGA